TTATCCAGCGGATATTGGCAATTTGGTCTCTCGTTCCTCTCCCTTTTCTAAACCCAGCTTGAACATCTGGCAGCTCTTGCTCCATGTATTGCTGGAGTCTTCCTTGCAGGATCGTGAGCATTACCTTACTGGCATGAGAAATAAGGGCCACTGTACGGAAGTTTGAGCAGTCTTTCGCATTTCCCTTTTTTGGTATGGGGATATAAGTTGATTTTTTCCAGTCTGATGGCCATTCTTGTGTTTTCCATATTTGCTGGCAAATGGCATGCATCACCTTGACAGCATCATCTTTTAAGATTTTAAACAGTTCAGCTGGGATCCCGTCGTCTCCTGCTGCCTTGTTGTTAGCAATGCTTCTTAAGGCCCATTCAACCTCACTCCTCAGGATGTCTGGTTCTAATTCATTCACCACACCGTGAAAACTATCCTCAATATTATTATCCTTCCTATACAGATCTTCTGTATAGTCTCGCCACCTTCTCTTGATCTCTTCAGCTTCTGTTAGGTCCCTGCCATCTTTGTTTCTTATCATACCAATTTGTTTCTTATCATACATGATAAGAATTTGTTTCTTATCATACATGAGTCTACACTGACCATATACTGATGTTCCAAACTGCATTATATGGCAGTGTATAGATCATGGAATAATGTATACAAAATTCATGTAAAAATGAAATATTTTCAAATGTGAGACAGGACAAAAATATTATTTACTGTCTAAACACATTAAAACCAAGCTAGGTAGCAGCACATGTTGCAAGTCAAAGGCAATCCATGGAAGAAGCAGCCCAGAAGGAGATAAGAAACTTGGAAATAGGGTGAAATCATATTGGAGACTTTAAAAGTGTAAACTTTCTTACGAAAGGAGTTAGCACTTTCCATCTGAACCATCTGAAGGCATATTTGGTTGTGCATTCAGTTGCTCCATATTCATTTGTGCACTCAGATACATTTATATTAATGCCCACTGCATTGCCATTTGACCAAGCATTCAGCAGCACAATCAATGTGCATATTCCCAAATGGCGATATACGTAGCAATTGAAATATAAGATCTTGGATTATATCTCTACCTACAGACACATCTACACTGTAGAATAAATGCAGTTTGACTCCATTTTAACAGGACTCAGTGCTATGGAATTTGGGGAGTTGTAGTTGGGGAGAGAAGGCTAAAGACCTTGGAAAATGACAGTACCCGGGATTCTATAGCATTGA